GATTACTCGAGACCGATCACGACTCACCTCCTCACGCATCTGTCTGTATTCGTTTTGGGGTGAAGAACTGCGCGAAACGCTTTCAGTAGCTCGCACAGCTGTGCGCAGAAGATTGCGTGGTCCAAGCAGAAAAAAGAAAAGACCAGATCGTTGTGAGACCTGAAGATGGGGCGAATGTACGGGAAGAGCAAGGGCATCAGCAAGTCGGCGCTTCCGTATCGCCGTCGTGCACCGAGCTGGCAGAAGATGAAGCCAGAGGAGCTCACCGACCAAGTGTGCAAGCTCGCCAAGAAGGGCCAGACGCCGTCGCAAATCGGTGTTTTCTTGAGGGACAGCAAGGGCATCCCGCAGGTTAAGGCCATCAGCGGCAACAAGATCCTCCGAATCCTCAAGATGAACGGTAGGGGGAGCAGGGGGGAAGAAGGGAGGACGGGAGGCAAGCAGGGAGGGAGCGAGGCACGCTCCACTGAGTCCTTGTGTGGTGCGTCAGGTCTGGCTCCCGAGCTGCCCGAGGATCTGTACCACATGATCAAGAAGGCTGTGGCGATGCGCAAGCACATTGAGCGCAACAGGAGCGACAACGACAGCAAATTCCGCCTCATCCTCGTCGAGTCCCGCATCCACCGCCTGGCGAGGTACTACAAGCGCGTCAAGCAACTCCCGCCCAACTGGAAATAGTAAGGCACCAAGTGCATACACAAGACAGCGCCTGATGTGCACTGCTTCTGTGCAGCTCATCGTCAACTGCCTCTGCAATGGTGGCGTGAGCCATGGAGGGTGGATGCGTCGTGGCTCGGTGCGGCTGAAGCGGAGAATTTCCAAGCCTACAGGATGTGTGCGAGGACAGGGAATAATGAGGGGTATATGTGATGGACAGTGCATGACGTGAATGCTGTTAAGTCGCACAGGACCATCACATCGTCATTTGACAACCAAACATCGTCGTTCATCAACGAACGGACCACACGATATCCAAGCGAGAGGCAGAACGGAGATGTAGTGTGAGTCTGCGCATCCATGCATCCCTCTGGCTGGCGATTCAGAACTAGTCATGCAGGCGCTCGGCGTTTGGCGCGTCGCTCACCCTCAGGCTCTCCCCCGGCTACCCGCTTGCCGTCCAGCCTTTGATCGATGATCGTGAAGGGGTTCCTCGCCACTGGTCTTGATGACCTGCTGTCTTCCTCGGCCGTGCTGTTCCCTGTCAGTCCATCCGTGAGAAGTCCGTCTGTGAGCAGGTTCCTCAGATCTCGAGGCTCGCCCGTTGCCATTTCAGCAGACGAACGATCATCATGGTGATGGGCCGCAAAAGCGGGTGCCGTTTCCTGAGCTGCTCGAGCTCTGTCGCCGAGGATGCGCTGGCGCTGTGTCGACGTGCTCCCTCTTGCCGCCAACGCATTTGCCTTGTCGAGGAGCTTCTGCACAGCGGTGGTCCTCCCACTCAACGCTGTCGGTGGACGAGCCTTGTGGGGACGAGGAGAGTGGCCAGGCAGGAGAGGGGAGGGCTTGGACAGACGAGGGGAAGGGGACGGGGTGCCTCTCCTGAAGATGGACGAGGGCCCAGTCACGGCAGCTCGAATGCCGGCCGTCTGCAGCACCTTCGGGTTTTTGCTCTTGAGCTTCTCGGCCGCCGCATCCGCCAGTCGCTGCCCGGCGGCTTCTCTCTGAGATGGCTCTTGCATAGAGAAGCCCTGCATGCCCGACAGTCCGGGGGGTTCGTTGACCGAGTCTCGGATGGCTTGGGCGGCGTCAAGCAGGAGAGGTGTAGATGCGATTTCGCCCCAGGTCATGAGCGGGGACTCGTCAGGTCCTTGGCCTGGATGGAGGCGAGGGGTGGAGACCATCGCATACCCTCGATGAGATATCGGCGCGTCTGGAGCGGGGCTCTGGACTGGTGCTCCCTTCACACGTGACGATGGAACCTGCCGAAGACACAAGCGAAGCCAGGTGGGCAGTGCACTTCCGGATGAGTCCGTCCGTCCGCTTCTTGTCCCACCTGTCCTGAGCGCACGATGTCGTTCATGGCTTTCTCATGGTCCTTCGCACGAACCTGGGCGTGCATGCGAGCAGCCTGACGTGCCTCTGCATCATCCTTCTCCTGCATACAACGCGAATGAGAAGACATGCATGGCACTGCTCATTTGGCCGCTCACCTGCAGGGCTGTCGGGAAGCGCGTGTTTCGATTCTTGATCTCACGATCAAGCGCAGCGACCTTGCTTGATAGCTGGCCCTCATCCGTCCTCCCCACCAGGCCCCTCTCTTCCACCCCCCCCTCGCTAGAGTGTTCTTGAGGATAGAACATAAGAGCATTACGCGCCTGGTGCTTTGTGTACTGGAGGTCCTTGATGACCTTGCCGTCCCCCTCACCCCTGCCCGCTCGGTCGACGCTGTCCTGCAGCTGCAGGTGTCTCGTGTTGTGGTACCTCATGCATTCCTCTATCCACCACTCCTTGTCCGTCAGCTGCTGTTTCTCCTGGGCTATGATTCGCTCGAACGATGCATTGTCTTCGCTCGTGTAGTGCCGCTGAAACTTGTCCAGGCGAACGTGGGGGGTGACCTCCACCGTGCGGCCATCCACAAGTGTCAGCTTCTTCACTCCCTCTTGTTGCCGGTGCTGCATCGTCGTGCTGCGTTCCGCAGCGATAGATGTCGGCTTCGCCCGTCCGGCAGCGACCGATTGCGCCTCGTCCATGTGCCTTCTCTCCTTCATTTCTTGATAACTTGGTGTTCCGGCCACACTGGCAGGCGTCATCTGCTGAAGTCGCTGGTGAGCGGCCATCACATCCTGCTCGGAGGCAGCAGGGTCCCTCTGGAGGTCGAGAAGCGCCCGCATCGCTCGTAACTTGGGCAAGTCGGGAAAAAAGTCGCGCTCGATGATCTCAGAGATCATGGACGTGTAGTCGTCTTCGCTGAGCACACGGGAGGGAATCCGCGGAAGAGGGTGCGGGTTGGGCACAGCAACAGCAAGGTTCGATGCCAGAGAGTTCGCATCTCTTGCGACGATGCGCTCTTCAGCGCTGCTTATCATTGGATGTACAAACAACTAACGCACTGGAAAGGCGCGATGTTTGATACACGGTGAAACGCTCAATTGGAAACGCTGAGCCAGAACTCAAAACTGGCGGATGATGTTTCGAGGCTATAGACACGGAAGCATGGGCGACCAGCACGTCTGATCTAGAGTGATGTTGTTGATCTTTTGCTTCCTAGGCCTCGTGCTCATCGACGCTGCTGCACTTCCGAAAGGCGTGCCTCACACGATTGGTAGGAGGGCTGATGGACGCTGTGATCTGTGTACGCTCGTTGTTCTCACTTCCTCAGATAAGTATCGTCCCGTGCAGAGCAACCAGTATCGCTGCTACGTGTCCGATGAGCTGATTGACTTCAGCTTCGTTAACGATGATTTCTGTGACTGCCTTGACGGCACTGACGAGCCTGGCACGGCGGCGTGTGCGGGCAGTCCAAGCGTGGCCGCCTTCTGGCACGCACACGGCGAGGAGGCTGCTTTTTCTTCTACATTCTACTGTCCACAAAAGGGTTCGAAGCCCAAGGTGGTCCCTGCATCAGAGGTCAACGATGGAGTCTGCGGTGAGTAATCAGTGATGAGACTGCACGAGGTGCAGTAGTGTTGGCTCGTTTCTATGCTGGTTGCAGATTGCTGTGACGGGTCTGACGAATGGCAGGGCCTGACCCCGTGCAAGAACACATGCTGGGACGAGGGAGCCCTTTTTCGTCAGCGCAAGCAACAGATCGAGCAAGGCATCGCCAGGCGTGAACGTTTCGTTAAAGAGGGCCATACGGTCCTTGCAAGCGTCAAGGCCGAGCTGGAAAAGGAGAAGGCAACCCTTCCACAACACGAGGCTACGCTCAAGGAACTCGAAAGTACGTGCATCGCACGTTCGTGTGGATGGAACACCAACTACCGTGTCTGTATTCCTGTTGCCGCAGAGGAGGAGGATGAGTTGAAGCGGCTTGAGGCCGAAAAGAAGGCCAAAGAGCGAAAGAAGGAAGAGGAAGGGGAGAGCCAGGAACAACAGCAGCCACTGCAGTCAGAGGAAGAAGCCCTCCCACCCGTCAGCAATGTCGAACCCGCCACGCAAGCCGAGGAGCCCTCTCCCTCCCCTCCAACCCTTCCCCCTGCCCCTGCCTCTCCCCCCGTCCAGCAGGACGACGACCTGGATGCGCTTGACGACGATGAGGTTCCGACGGACTGCCACGAGTGGGGGGAGGACGGCAAGTGTCACGACAAGGACCACGAGCACGATGAAGACGAGGAGGGCTTAATCGGAGAGGAGGACGAGATGGACGAGGACGAGTACTATGAAGAGGGGGAGGACAGAGAGTGGGAGGATTCGAGAAGGCGAGCTGAGGGCAGTCCCGAGAACGCTACAGGTGAGTGGCCAGGATAGTGCCGTTCGATGCGTGCATGGAAGTGTGCATGTATTGGGCGGGGAGAGAGGACGAGAGAGAGAAAGAGAGAGAGACAGAGAGAGAGTGAAGACGCGAAGACGCGGGTCAGTCGTTTTCAGAGCTGATCCTTTGTAGCTCCCGTACGTCTCTGTGCTGCCCTGTCAGATCTAGGCCGTCTACATAGGGGCTTTGTGTTTTATGTCTTTGTGTAGGTGCGCTGGGCTGGTTGAGGCAGTGGCGCGTCGTGCGGTGGCTGATGAGCATAGGCACAAAAGTCAAAGAACAAGTCAAGGACACGGCCACTCGACTCACTGCCTCCAAGCCACGCACAGGCACGTCACTGACTAGCTTGTACTGTGTCGTGTTGTATTCTATGTACTGTACCACACTGCGTGGGCTGCCGTGAACATTCTCATGCTGTCACGACGTCATCGGTTTGTTTTGGGCATTGGGTATTCTGTGTCGTGTTCAGAGCTCGACAAGATTCGCACCAAGGTGTCGGACACCCGTCACCACGTCACTGAAGCCAAGAAAAAGATCGACCACCTTGAGAAGAAAGCGAAAGACCTCGGTAAGGGAGCCTCTGCGTTATTTCGTCTTGTGCGCTCGCGTGTCTGTGCAGAGAGCAAGCCTGAGTATGCGCATCTGTATCACAAGTGTGTCGAGACAAATTCAGACGGGTAAGAACGTGACACACGTTACGTGCTTAACGATGTTTCTTTGCCAGTTACGTTTACGAGGTCTGCTTCTTCAAGGATGCTCACCAGAAGAAAGACCATCATAGCACCAATCTTGGGTGAGTTTTGCATGCTGACCAACCAGGTGCACAGCGTGCTACTCATTTGCGTGCTATTATACCTTGTGCTCGCAGCCGCCGATGGAAGTGGGATATCAGTACCGGGAATCTTGACGAGGACGTCATGCTCCTGGAGGGAGGGCAGAGCTGCTGGAACGGCCCTGCGCGGTCACTAAAGGTATGCATCGACGCCGTCATTTGAAATGTCTGCAGAGCTGCCAGCAATCTCCCACCTCAGGTTCGTTTCGTGTGTGGCATTGAAGAGAAGCTCCAAAACGTAAGCGAGAAGACACATTAACTGACGCGGATCACTCAGGCACGAACCATTAGGTATCGGAGCCGTCAAGGTGTGTATATGAGGTCAACATGATGTCACCGGCGGCATGCAGACCTCATCACGTAAGACACGTAAAGGCATGAGCACGTCACATATAGCACTTTCCATTTCGTGCAGTTGGACGAGTTCAAATTCCTTGGTGATTCATCGCAGCAGCAACATGATGAACTCTAGCGACTAGTGTGTGTCTGTGTATTCTTGAGTTTTGGTGCGGTTTCTTCGGTTTTCGACTAATTCGCGATTCGTGGATGGCACAGTGTTGTCTTTATTGTGTATCGTGGCCCCGGGCCGTGCATGAGACAGCAGAACAGAGTTGTCCCAGCATTCACTGCTGAAAAATGTTGCCTGAGATTTCGCACACTATTCTGTGCACCCACGACTGAAAAGCAGAAAAGGCGCGAGAGTGTTAAGCACAGATGCACTTGTGCTTCGATCCCCTTGCCGTAGATCTCCTTACATCACGTCCATCCAGGTCGACTGTTACTTGCAGCATGAGGATCAGCAGACCAGGTTTACTTGGGGTACGGTGGCTTGAATGCACCCAAGAGCCGTACCAGCTGCTTTTAGCCAAGGTGACCAACAGAGAGCCACGCTTCATTTGATGCTCATGTCTCCCTGTCGGTGGTGTATCCGTAAGCGGCTGGGAGACAGAGAAACACAGCCTGGCGATGCAGTGCGGGAAGGGGGAGATGTTTCGATGGCTTGAGAGAGACGTTGTAATCAGTATGGTCGTCCATCCTAAATCAGATCCAGCCAGCCAACTCATCAGCATGCAGACAGAGATCGGTAACCGATCAGTGTCGATCAGTCAGACGCTGCCATGCTAAATGAAATGCAGCATGCAGTCCGTTTCAACACAGGCATCCAGACAGGGACGACTTGAAAAACTACAAAACCACCCGCGATGCAATGTTCGGCTGGCCTTTTCGCCGATACCGGCACTCACTGAGTGAGTGTGAGAACGGTCAGTGCCAGAAGCAGCAGATGGAGGGGACCGCCGCTGCATAGACGCAGTCAACACGGCAGCACACGAAGACACAAGGAGACACCTGTGTATCTGTCTGCAACGGTAGCTGGTGTTCGCACCTGAATGCACTGCTGTCGGTGCCGTCGTCTCCGGCAGGGGGCTCCTCTGTGTGTGACAGGGACATGTCATTACTGGTAAGGTCTCATGCACGGTTGGCTATACCTACCAGTGCTGGTGGCGGGCTCCGGACTGATGGTGCTGAGTCCGTCAATGGTAGTGGGCTCCTCGCTGGTGCTGCCGACATCGTCAGTGGAGCTGCCCACCTGCTGAGGAGGGATGCTGGGTGTCTCAGCGGACGTGGGTGCCTCAGAGGAGGAGCTGACTTCGTCGACGGGTCCCTCACTGGTGCTGATGTCAGGCTCCTCACTGGTGCTAGGCTCTTCCGTGCTGCTGGTGCTGCATTCAAGCACCACAGCCCGACAGACGGACAGACAAATGGACGGCTCAATGTGTGGAGACGGTATCGGACCTGTCTCCTACGCCACGAAGCGCGCTGCCAGTGAAAGAGAAGAACAGACCAACAGGATATGTGGTCAATGGGTGTATTGCTGAGAGACGTGTAGTATCGTGCGTACACAGCTTCAGCGACGGCGAGTGTTCCAGCGGCAGTGCTGAAGTTCTCCGGTTGGGTCAATCGATTGCATCCTGACCCGGCCGCACACCTGCATGCGAAGCCCCCACGGTAGACGGCATATATGTATCATTCCTAAGTGCCTCTTACCAGCAGAGGTCGTACAACCCTGGCGTCAGCGGCGTGTTGAATGAGTACACTGAAAAGCTGCCGTCTGCCGCAGTGCCGGTCGCAATCGCCCATGCAACTGAAACACGACATACAGTCTCACGAAGATATTCATCCACTAAGCCCCAGCCCTCTGGCTGGTTGCTCACCGGAGGAGCCTGCCTCGAGAGTGGCACAGTCCTCCTGCTTGGTGATGGCGATGAGCATGTCCCCATTGGCGAGGCCAGTGCCTGTGACGGTGTGCTCACAGACGTCAGGGGCGCACACCAGCGTCTCTGCATCAGGCTGAGCGCCTGCAGGGGAGAAATCGGAAAATGATCACTATGCACTGCAGAACATCACTGCCTCCTTGCTGCTTGCCCGTGAGGGTTGCCAAGAGGAGGAAGACTGCCCCGACAACCAGCATCGTCTCAAACTAGTGGAAAACTCGCGCGAGCCTGGGGGCCGGATGGACTCTGGCCGTTTTTCCCTGGCCGTTTTTCCCTGGCCGTTTTCCCTGGCGGTCAAAGCACTTTCATTTGTGGTTGGACCGAGGCAATGCAAGTGTGAACCGAGGTAATGCAGGTTTCCCGTTTTTTGCCATGGGTTTTGGCCATCGGTAAAAACCCCTGGACACCCTGTGTGGGCGTGTGGCTGTTCAGGGAAGTGCTGACACTGCGTCGATATCCCACAGCCGCTGTTTCATCAGAGCCTTTCTTTTCATTGAAGCTCCACTCACCCAATTGACATGGGCTGTCACAATTTCCTCTCGCTCCTGTTTCGTTAAGAAGTCAGAGGTAGGTGCACTTCGCATCTTCAAAAATACCCGACCTGATGAATGAGAGAAAAACACACACACACACACGAGGAAACTGCGCTGACACGATTTTGCGAAGGACACCAACCCGAGGGGAAGAGCGGTGACATGTACTTCGAAAGAACTTCTAACCTGATGGGAAGAGCAGTTGTCACGGTTTTGCCCTTGACCACCAGTGGAGGCCTCTCCACCAGATCGACACCAATGGCGTGGCGCACGCCGGCTTGCTACAATGCCCGCACCCTTTCCCCTGTTGACGCGCCAATGCTGAGGGCACGCGAGTCGCGCGTGAGGTACCCGGCGAACCAATAGCGATCAAACAATCGCACATGCATGTACCTGCATATCAACTACAGAAGTCAACACGAGACAACCAATTCATGTGGATCCCTTATCCATTCGAGCATATCGACGGAGAGCTGTCCTGAAGCGTCTTGCCCACCTGAAGCGCCACTTCTGATGTAGGCGCCGTTTCCCTGTGTGGCGACGGATTCATTGTACGCCCTCCCATTCACGAACGAGCTGGCGTGGCTGCTGAGGGCAGACTGGCACATTTCCGCTGTCTTTCGTCCTGCCTCCTGGCCGATGTTCTGCCTTTGGTTCAATGGGAGGGAATCCATGATAAAGCAGCTATCATTGGCGACACTGGGGCGCAGGAGACGCTGAGCATCAAAAGAGGGCGTCTCCTGCGGACTCGTCTTTCGCTTGTCCGCCGTCCAGACGTTTAAGCACTCGTCGGCCACACCGTCGAGGTCGTGCAAACCTGACATATTCCTGAGGATAGGCAGCCATTGGTCCGATGCTCGAATCTGCCTAGATCCCCAGCTCACCTTGGCGTATGGCAGTATGGAGAATATCGAGGAGGTCCAGCACGGGCCACTCTGAGACGAACAAGGCATGCCAGCCGGTCAGCCAAATGCAGTACAGCTAGCTCACCTGTGCTCAGCAAGGTCCGAAGAGGAATCTGCCTGATGATGTCTCTCACGAGAGTGTCTTTTCTGTCGACATTTTGAATCATGGCTGCCGAGATGAGGGCCAGCGGGCACTTGTTAAAATAGCGAGAGGCCTCTACGGGGAGAGAGACATACTGTGCCTTTCGGCAATCAGATCCTCTGTGGGCCTTTGTGTACCTTTGGCGACCTCTTGGCCGAGTCGAGCCGCCTCATTTGCGTTCTCTTGCAGAACGGTTGCTGGCGGCTGGCCCCCACTGATTTGGTCTTGCCATGTGCTTACCAGCCCCATGAGAGAGCTGTAAAACGTCCGCAGCGCTGAGGACTTGTGCAAGAGAGGACAGTCATACGAGTCAAGGTCAGGGAGGCCCTCTTTCAACAGAGCAAGCATCCTAAACAAAAGACAGATCAGGGAAGACATCTGGTCCTGAACGCTGACCTCAGGATTGGCCATGTTGTGTCGAGTATGTGGGAAGCGAGACCAAACTGGTCATAAGTCGTCGAGCTCAGCCAGGGTGTGTGACATGTACTGCTCGAGGGACGCGATGACAGCGTCACTCTGGGGCGGATGGACGGCAAAGAAAATCATGGAGGAGTGAAGCATTGAGAGACGCGTTGGCGCATGACGCCAGGGCTGCGATGACGAGGACGACCTTCACCATGTGGCGGCCCGATTCGTCGTGAAACGCTTCTAAAATCGGCTCTCCTCTTGAGTGTGAATCTCCGCTGGTGAGCAACAGCACTGGTGTGGGGTGACCCTTTGTTTTTTCAGTTCGACCGTGATCGACCGTTTTGTCTGACCGCACGCCTTCCGTCTGAGAGAGACGACGACCGTGCTGAAGTGTCAGCCCGATTCGCGGACAACACGCGAGTTAAACACAACAACCAACCAACCAACCAAGCAGCGAGAGATCCAATGTCGTTGAGCGAGTATGAGGTGGTGGCCACGAGTCCCGAGGCCGTACGACTTCGTGTCATTCGTCCTGACGACATCCCCGAGCACAGCGAGCCGCTAGATCCGCAGGCAGTCGAGAGCGCGCGACAGATCCTCGATGAAGTCAAGAAGGCGGGGAGAGCGGCGGTAGTCAAGTATGCGCTCAAGTTCGGGGACATCGGCAGCGACAGCGAGAGGCTCATCTACACGCGGGAGGATCTGAAGGACGCCTATGAGGGCCTTCCTGGTACGCAGCAAGGGCTGCTCATGCGGGTGGCGTCGCGGATCCGACGGTTCGCTGAAGCGCAAAGGGCTTCGGTCAATGCAATGCAGGTGAGATGTTGATAGACAAGACAAACTCAAATGGACGCACGTTCGTTTGATCTGCAGATATCCGTTCCGGGGGGCTTTGCGGGTCAGTCTGTGGTGCCCGTCGAAGCAGCAGGGTGCTATGCGCCCGGAGGCAGATACCCACTCCCCTCTTCTGTCCTGATGACGGCCATCACTGCTCGAGTGGCAGGAGTCAGCCACGTTGTGGTCGCTTCCCCTAAGCCGTCTGCCGTGACGAAAGCCACAGCATACATCGCTGGCGCAGATGCATTGCTGGGCATTGGCGGTCCCGCAGCAATTGGTGCGCTGACGTATGGCGTGACCGATCTTGGTGTCCCTCCTTGCAACGTCATCGTGGGACCCGGCAACAAGTACGTAGCTGCGGCCAAGGGGCTGGTCAACGGCACGGTCGGCATCGACATGATCGCTGGACCGTCTGAGCTGCTAGTCATCTCTGACGAGAAGGCCGACCCGAGGTGAGGAGAAGCGAGGGCTGAGATATCTCCACATGTCGTGCTCTTTGTTCCAGAGTGGTTGCGAGTGACTTGTTGGCTCAAGCAGAGCACGACACGGTTGCCCGTGTGGTGCTCGTGACGACCTGCGCCTCCCTCATCCCGGCTGTGGAACAACAACTCACGCAACAACTGGCGGTGAGAAACAGGAAAACGCCAAGGGTGTTTCTCACCCGTGGTAGTGTCTTTCAGGTATTGCCAACTCGCGACGTGGCCTCGGAGGCGTTGAAAAACTCCTTCTGTCTGTTGGCCGGCTCGACTGAGGAGGCCATTGACATCGCCGACAAGATCGCACCGGAACACCTCGAGGTCAGGAGACGCTATAAAGGGACACTTAGCTCATACGTGCCTTTAATACAGCGAGCGACTCGGTTGCGTTGTGCAGGTGGTGACAGAGGACGCCGAGGGTGTGTCTCGTCGCCTGAAGAACTACGGTGGCCTGTTCATTGGCAACAGTGCAGCGGAGGTGCTGGGCGACTACGGCATCGGACCCAACCACACCCTTCCCACATCAGGGACGGCCAAGTACACAGGTGAGTGAAGTGTTCGGTGGTACACAATTTGATGTGGCTCTGTGTGGCTGCCTGCCTCTGCAGGTGGCCTGTCTGTCTTCAACTTTTTGCGGATACGGACGTGGCTGAACATTCATGACTTGCACGACCCAACCTGCCAGCAGGCAGTCAGGTGATGTGTATACGGTGCAGGCGGCGCATACCGAACATCGATGCGTTTCCGCTTTGCAGGGACTCAGTTGACTTGGCCGAGCTGGAGGGCCTGGTCGGCCACTCACGATCAGCCCGATGCCGCCTGACGAACCAGTCGTCCCTCACCCCCCCTGCACCTTCTATCCGGGTGCAGCAGAGCGAGTCGCCTACCCCAGACACACAGGTTACTAGCGCATCTCTCTCACAACTAGATCACCTAGCAGACACAAACGCTGGAAAACTACAGGTAAAGCGGCAGGCAGATTGACGCACATCCGCACATGAAATGCATGCGCAAAGAAGGGAGTCTGTGCATCCATGTGTGGTTGTGTCTGGTGTCAGCGCTTGATCCGTCCGGACGTGGGCAGCTTGATGGCCTACACCCCCGTCAAGCCCCTCGATGTGGTGGCTGAGGAGATAGGCGTGCCCATCGACGACCTCTGCAAGCTAGACGCCAATGAGAACATATACGGCATACAGTCAGACGTCGTGCACCAAATTATGGTAAGACAGATGCAGTTGCGTACGATGGCTGTTGTTCCTCTGCGTTTGTCTCTCTGTTCAGGCCAGCAGTCGTGCAATGCACATTTATCCCGACCCCGACCAAAATGCACTCAGGGACATGCTCAGCAAGTTCACAAAAAGGTATCAGCAGATGCAGTTCCGAGTACTCTTGCCTTCAAATTGATATGTATTGTGCACATGCAGGCCTCGTGAGGAGATCGTGTGTGGTGCCGGCGCTGATGACATGATCGACCTGATCATCAGGATAGTGCATCCACGGAAGATTGTCATCCCGACACCGACATTCCCCATGTTCAAGTTCTTCGCACTCATTCTTCGGTGACTTCTGATCAATCACGTACAACAGGCACAACCACATCTCACTGCCAATGCCTGTGTGCTGCAGCTGCGAGGTTGTGGAGGTCCCCCTTTCCCCCCCTCCCTCGTTCTCTCTGCCCCTGCAGCAGATGCTCGAAGAGATCCGGAGAGGAGCATCGCTGGTCTTTGTCGCGTCCCCAAACAATCCCACTGGCAAATCTGTGGCGCGAGCGCAACTGGAGACACTACTGAAGGAGGAGTGCATTGTCGTTGTCGACGAGGCATACATCGAGTTTTCCGACAAGGGTGATGTCACTGATATGATGGACAAGTGGGTCACGAGACAATGGATCGGTCTGAGGAATAGAAGACCTTTCTTCGATGCGTCCCTTGTTGTGTGCAGGTACCCGAACTTGGTGATACTGCGCACTTTCTCAAAGTGGGGTGCAATGGCCGGCCTGCGATGCGGATACGGTCTCTTCCACCCACTACTCGCGGACAGAATCAGACAGGTCAGTGGCGAGCTCGGCAATATGGATATGAATCGCGACAGTTGCTCTGTTGTTATCAGATCAAGATCCCCTACAACGTGAGCGTCGCAGCCGAGTCAGCTGCACGGGCATCGCTGCAGCACTTCGAGGTGCTCGCGCAGCAGATCGACCGCATCAAGGCCGAGCGTTACCGACTGCTGTCCATCATCAAGTCCTCCCCGCAGCTGCACTTCCTCCATCCGTATGACAGCGACACCAACTTCATCCTCTGCAAGGTGGATCCAGGCAGCGCAGAAGGCCTAAGGGATCAACTGAGGAAGAGAGGCGTGCTCGTCAGGTGAGGCCGCAGATACAGTGTCAACGGGTCGACGTTTTGTTGGTGTCCTCAGGTACTACGCGACAGGCATGCTCAAGAACTTCATTCGTATCAGCTGCGGTCGACCTGAGGACACGGATCGCCTCATTCGTGAGCTGTGTACGCTGCCTCTATTCGCGTCGGAAGGGGGACTGCCCCTGCCTCCACAGATTCCCCCAAAACCACTCAAAACGACGCCCACGGGTCAGCAGAAAATAAAGAAAGGGCATGGGAGACGGTCACTTTCATCTTTGTTTTTCCAGCTTTGTTGTTTGACATGGATGGGGTCCTTGCTGACGTGTCCCAGTCGTACAGAAAGGTTAGCAAGATGCACTTCCTCCGCAAGTGACAGTCTCCACTCACGTGCCAATGCTTGTCCGCTCCAGGCCACTCTCTTGGCAGCCGAGAAGTACGGGGCCAAGTGCAGCAGTGAGGACATAGTGGCCATGAAACGACAGGGCAACGCAAACAACGATTGGATACTCACGCAAAGGCTCATCAAGTCGAAGACGGAGCGAGAGGTCAGATCTATTGGTGGGACGGGTAGACGTGCGATGTCAGATTTCCATCGCCTGGTGCAGGTTCCTTACGATGACGTGGTGGCATCGTTCCAAGAGTACTACAACGTCGCCAAGGCGAGCGAGAAGTGCATCATCCCCTTACCTGTATTGGAAAGCCTGAGGGCGCAAGGCACGCTGCTGGCCGTCGTCACGGGCAGACCAAGGTACACGAGGGAGGGTAGTACATTGATAGACGTATGGATGCACGGTCGGTCATGATGCATCAATCCTTATCCTATACCGACTCGACAGAATGAGGTCCATACATTCGACACTTTGCCTGAACGAATGACTATGTTACACATCATGAATGCCGCCACAGCCAAGATGCATACAGTCAAAGTTTTTTTGTGTGTTCTTTAGGACCGAGGCTGAGTATTTTCTGAGCGAGCATGGGCTGCGTGGGGTATTCTCCGTCATTGTGACAATGGAGGACGGACCCCCCAAGCCCGACCCTGGACCCGTGCTTTTGGTGAGTCTTCGGAGGGCAGGATGCGTTGGCGTCTGACCACGTGATTGCATGTAATCTCCTTTCTCTGTAGGCCCTGGACCACCTGGGCTTGGTGTCGTCGGGCATCGAGGGTTGGGTTGGGATGATCGGCGACACACCTGACGACATCCGCAGTGCAGTGGCGGCACACAAGCACCTCCAGCAGCAGTCCTCTTGTGCGATCGATGTCATGGGCATGGGGGTGCTGACTCCTGAGGAAGCACAGAAGGACAGGTAGCCTCCGGGCGCGAGGAGGGTGACAGCACACATGCATGCACGTGTTTTCCATGCTTCAGGTCGCATCGCATAGCTGCAACTGACTGTCTGGTTGAGGCCGGGGCAGTGCGCGTAGCCAGGACATACGAGTAAGCACAGGAAGAAGAGGATAGCGACTAGCTGAGATGGTGCCAAACTGATCCACACGTATATGATATTGCGTTGCAGTGACTTGTTGCCCTACATTTTGCCCACCACCAGCTCCCCGCCGCTGGTTCACAGTCACGACGTCTCTGGTGCCGCCGGCTTCACTGACCGTCAGAGCATGCGTATCGGGGAGGTGTCGCGGACGACCAAAGAGACCAAGATATCCTGCCGTGTGTGCCTTGGTGGGTCGGGCAAGGCGGACGTCAACACTGGTGTGGGCTTCTTCGATCACATGCTGCAGCAGCTCGCCAAGCACGGACGCTTTGACATCAGGTGAATGATAAAGAAGACAGCGAGACAGTGTGTGAGCACGAAGGAAATCCTGTGTGCAGCCTCAATTGCGCGGGTGATCTGCACATTGACGACCATCACACTGTGGAGGACTGTTCGATCGCACTCGGCACCTGCTTTGACAAGGCACTGGGTAGTCGCGGTGGCATCAACCGGTTCGGCACGGCTTACGCGCCTCTTGACGAGAGCCTGGCACGAGCAGTGGTGGACCTGTCGGGCAGGGGACACTCGGAAGTGCACATACCTTTCGAGCGGGAAAAGGTGCGGGAAGGAATCGTATCTACCCTCGCCCCACATATCTGCTGTTCTCCTTCGAAGGTCGGCACGTTGTCGACGGAGATGGTGAGCCACATTTTCTATTCTCTGGCCAGCGCCATGAAGGCCACCATCCACATCGATCTGATTCGGGGTGTCAACACGCACCACAAGGTAGACGGCATGAAATGCAACAGCCGCACCAGACGACCATTGCCTTTGTCATCCCAACCTTCACTATTCCTTGCGCAGGTCGAGTGCAGCTTCAAGGCATTCGCTCAAGCATTGCGGACAGCCTGCTCCATAACGAGAGCGGCAACAGACATCCCGTCAACAAAGGGAATGCTGTGACTTTCTATGAATCGTGATGGAGTATTGCATGTGGATTTGAGTATGGGACACGATCTATAGCTGCAAATGGTGTGCCTCTCGTCGTATCGAGTCGTATCGTTGATGGGGGTCCCCGACTCCATCGTGTCAGTATCCTCTGTAGTGCCATCAAGTAGGTTGCTCCCGGATTGAGAGACGTTGCCGACAAAACAGGGGGAGGGGGGGACAAGGCCATGCTGTGAACACTTTTCTGCCGCATGTTACCAGATTTCCTGAGTGTCTTTTACCCTCTCTCTGTCTCTGGAGGCTCCATCGGCATGAAGTCCTCTGCAGACTGACCGACTCACCCAATACTCCTGAAACGGCACAGGGCGCAACTCTGATCGATCCTTTCGGGTAGGATTGAAGAAGACACGGCTCCGGTGAATAGTCGCTGTGCCGTGCACTCGAGAAGACACGGCTCCATGTTAGTTCTGTCGCCGCTATGATAACACGCCTGGAACGTGGACCAATCACTCAAATCACTCATTCATCATTGCAAAGAGGTCCAGCAGTGAATCATTCATTCACTCATTCACTGATCATTCTCGAGTCTTGTTTCAATGAGAAGGAGTCTGTTTCGGTGAGAACGTGTTTGCTGTTGCCCCTTTGGTGTTTAGGGGGTTGACGAGGACTTGAAAACAGATGAAACAGAAGGGCCAAAATATAACAAAAACATAGCACCGAGACACTCGGAAGATAGGAAGAAAACCATTGATGAACGGATTCATTGATGTACCTGCCTGCCCTTTCTGTCTGTCTCTCTGTACGTACGTCTCCGATGGATAGATGCCAAATGATGGATGGATGGTGTGTTTAATGTGCCTGCCTGCCTATATGTGTCTGTATTTGTGTGCTGTGTCTCATGTCTGCATGTGCGTGTATGTGTATGTTTTAACATGTTGTTAAACCCCCTTTACCCCTTTTTTTACCGACGTACAGTCCGGACCGCGTAAGTGGGTCACCGCATAAGCGGGTCAGACGCGTAAGTGGGTCAGCCATGTACTGTAGTAGTTTCTGGTGTTTTAATTTCTCCGCTGCGGCGCCTACTCATGCGCCTACTCCGGGTCGTCATCGAAGTTCAGTCCCCGAAAGAGACAAGTGGGTGCAGATTTTGTGAAAGGTGACCTGCGGTCCTCTCTTGGGGGTCAATTACGACCTTCTATGACAGAAAGAACTAGTAGTTTTTTCTTACTTATAGCTGACCTGCATGATTCTAGCCTTGATGCGCGAAACGGAATTGACTCATCACAAAGAGGAAAGAGAGGCGCCCTCCCTTATGCTCGAGCAGCACTTGAGCGGCGTTGTCGTGAGTCGACTCACAGATGCGCTCAATCCCATTCTTTCTCGACCTCTACATGACACCAACTGCACATTCAACGTAAGAAAGATGGAAAGATCTGCAAGACGACGAACGTGTTGTGTTTCAGAATGGGCAGCTGGAGGTGAAGAACCTTTCTCTGCGGCCGTCTCTGCTGGAGGAAGATTACAGCCTCCCGTTCAGGATCAGACAAAGTAAGGCTCGCAATGTGACAGCTGCCAGCGCTTCCTTTCGTGTGCACGCATTTGCTCCAGGTCATGTGGGGCAGCTGCGGCTCAAGATCCCGTGGAATCTGTTTTCACCCATCGAGCTGGAAGTGCAAGATGTGTTGGCTATCATCGGTATCCCAAACACCAACACACCATGAACATCGCGGCTTACTGGAGAGCCTTGTTCGTTTCCTTCAGAGTGTGTGCCTGAGGATCAGTGGGATTCATCTACCGCCTCGTCGCGCGAGCAAGCAAGGCGCGACAAGCACCTCAAGAAACTTATCGACAGGAGAAGGGGAAAGGGCGGCGGCGACTCGACGGCTGCTGGAGTAGGTGGGGGGATACTCGGTGCGTTCGTGAAGCATCAGCTCGGATCCTGGCTGTTCAATCGCATACACATCACTGTCACGTTAGACCACACCCAAATAGAAGGGAAAACAAGAAAAAAGACGCTCGCATCGCGTCTTGTTCTTGTGTGGGGGATCAGGAATGTTCACATTCGCTACGAAGATGCCCATTCAGGTGTGTTTGCTTTCGCTGCTGGCGTTGTGCTGCCGGAGCTCACGCTGCACAGGCTCTCGCTCTCTGAGTCACTGAGTCGTCCGCCAAATACGACGGACGCCACCCCAGACAAGCAAAAGGTGTGGAAGAGCACATCAGGCAATCTGCGAAGTACCCTCTGGACCGGCGGGCGTTGGGCTTCCTGCGTTGGGTGTGTGTCAGTCGCTTCGTGTTGTGACGGCCGTCTACTGGACGTCATGCGAGCGGATGTTCCTCGCAGACCATCCTCAATGGGAACAAGGTATATTATTACGCCTTATAGTCAATGCATGTATCTCTTTCTGCCCTGCAGAGTTGCATCAGAGCACCCGCCACGTCCAACATGCAGCGTCATCCCTCTCGTCGAGCAGACCCCACGTGTCAGATCTCTCCAGCCCAGTGCCCCCTCCGCCTTTCCCCTCTACCCATCACCCCCCTCCCAGGACACTCTATCCGCCCAGCTTTTCATCGGGCCGCGAGGGGCAGCGCTACTTGACGGGACCGCCAATAGCTCACCGCGATGGTCAGCGCAGGGTATATGGTGGGTTGCGGCTTCCCTGGCATGGGAAGGCAGCTCGCGAGAATGTCTATGGATATCAGTATGGCGGGGAGGGACACTTGCGGATGGCTTACGTCTTGCCGCCAAGTAAGTCACCGAGTTTTTTCCTGTTCAGTCCGTGACAATGCCCGTTTCAGCTTCGCTGTCGATGGAGTTTGCAAGCCCCTGCCCAAAGACAGGTGAAGAAAAGACAGAACTGCACTTGCACTTGATCCTTGCCTCTCTATTATCTTTCGTCTACATCCTTTAGGCGCCATGTTGTCCATCGTCGGCCACATCCCACCAGTCAGCGTCACGGTAGACCAGCTTATACTGCAGGACATTCACAGCCTGCAGGACCACACGAACGCATGGCAAGCCTTCCAACGACACTGGTATGCCTGCAGGCGCGGTCGCATGAACTCATGATACGGATGTCTTGTCTTTGTCCTCGTGAATATGCAGTTTTGAGTCTCCGTGGCGCTTCGGTGTTCTCCGGCCGTCTGTGCCTGCACACACGGACCCGAGAGCCTGGTGGCGGTATGCATTCAGGTGTCTGCGGCTGTGCCGCTGGGAGGCCAACCCGATGGCCTACTGGTACACTCCGCCAATTGTGACACTCCTCAAGTGGCACAGGACCTATCTCATGCTCCTCAGAAGGAAAATCTATCAGGGCAGCAGCATGAGCGAGGTGGGCGGGAACAGATCGACAGGTGATTACTTCTTCGCTCTCTTGCTGCCAGGCTGACGAATACAGGTTGACTTGCTGGGAGTCGTCGCTGTGTGTTCCCTTCAAGCTGTTGGACATATGGAGGTAAGCATGTGTAAGCATGACACTTGTGGGTGTTGAATGTGTTACCGTATGCCAGGCGTCAGGTATTGGGCGACCCCTCAGTACCCCCAGAGGTAGCAAAGACAGCAACCAGAAGTCTCCACACCATATATAATATTGTACATTGCTCGGCGTCCTCTTCTTCACGTTCAGGACCTTGCACTGCTTGAAGGGAAGCGTCCATTTTCGTCGTCCACGCCTTTTGCGCCCGCGCATCCCTCGCAGGATCAGCACGAGCCATTCGACCACGACCTAACATCGGAGCTGATCGAAGGGGTGCATTTTACCAGCACCAGGGTGTCAAGGCACAGCCATAAGATGCAGCAGGGAAGGGAGAATCGAGCGCTGGAGAAGGGCTGGGGAGTTAAGAAAGAGGACGTGAAGAATTTCCTCAGGCAAGGGCATCACCGTGATGTAGCACAGGGCATGCCGCTTGGACGAATCGCCGGGCATTCCGTCTGCAGTGGGCTATTTGGGTCGCAAGCTGCTGCCTTGGGAGAGGAAGAGCTCGAAAAGACGACTGCAGAACTACAGGTGAGAATGACGGTCAACCGAATGACCATCGAACGTTCATCGCCTTGACGACAACTTGGACAGACTGTCGTGGGCAACGCGTCCGGCCAGCCAGCTGTTTTGTCATCCTTCGAGGCCCTCGATGTATGCTTCACCCTCTCGTGCCCGTCGATACAGATCGTGCTGGTGGAAGTGGCGTCCCGTGCAGCCTTTGCGACTCCACCCGAAGGGTACTTAGCATTCCCCTTTGCCAGGGCACACCCGGACTGTCTCACACCAAGTGTACAGCGGCAGCAGACATCCACGTACGGAAAGAAGCTCTGTCAGGCTAATTGTGAAAAGCCGTGTATTGTGCTCGTTTTTCTTGTTCTCATTAGTTCGTTGCCCCACCGCACGTGGCGCCACCCCGACTCCCGACCTCTGGGACGCCATGCTTTCGAGATGCACCTCAAGGCCATCCAAATCTCGGGCACAAAGCGAGCCATCGAAGGGTCAACAGGCGGTTTGAGGGCACAGGGCTCGATTGGTGACGCCTATGTGGGTGCTGTGGGTTTGCCGGATGACTGTCCGACTGATCAGTTCTCTTTTGTGCCTGTGGTGGGCGCAAAGGGCGAGGAGGGGGGAAGGAGGATTTGTATGGTGAAGGACGGCATGGGTGGAGGCGATGCAGTGTGTGAAGATGGTGAGGCACGAATGGTGTGCACACCGTCATGTTGACATCCCCACCTGCCCTCCGCCCACGTTTGCCTGCAGATTTGTATCGACACTGGAGCGATGCTCTTCTCTGGGCTTCCCTTCCCCTCACAAACAAGCGGCTCACCGAGGTGCCTCTCCCTGCCGATCCCCACACAGGGAGAAGGAAGGACAGCGGTGTGAGTTGCTTCGTGTCTGTTGATGTGGACGAGAGCGTCTTGGTCAAAGTCAGGGGACCTGTTGTACAGATGGCAAGGTGAACTGACTATTGATGGGAGTCTCAATAGGACAACTGTTGTCCGTTCTGTGTCCTTAGATCTTCTGTCATGGCTCTTAAGTTCTTTGCCGATCATGCATCGCTCCCCTCCGAGGCCCTCATGATGGACAAGAGCTACCGTCAAGTCATTCCGGCTCTCCCAGTCACCTCTCCATCGCGGCCGCAGGCCTCATCTCGTGTGGTGCACCAGGATGTCCGGCTGGAGGTGCATCATGGATGTGCCGTCTTGCAGGGCAGTGGAGATGTCGTGCCAAGAGGCGGCAGTGAAAGAGCTGGTGTGAGTGTGATGGACGTACCTGCGGCTGTCGTCGAAGCGGATGTCATCATCGTCACAGTAGAAAGGGATGCCACCAGCCTTCGAGGTGCGGTGGAACAAATGCGATACACAGACCGGTACCTATCTTGCTGTGCTTATCGTACGACGCGTTTCAGGCAAGATTGGTTCACAAAGCCCCGGCAGTGTGGCGCGTCACATCCACACGCTCGTCCGCTTGGCGGCTATCGAAATGGGCATCTACACGTGGCACGCCCTCGCCGACTGGTATAACTTCGGGCGTCCCTGGAGCAAGAACGAAAGCACGGCCCACACATTCTCCAAGTACCGACAGCGTGTCGACCATGTGTTGGCCATGCCAACAACAAGCGGCAAGAGCACCCCGCCCCCCAGCGACTCATCTCTGCCCGAGTCGCCACCTCTTTCCGCTGTTGCCGCACTCTCGCTATCGCCAGGCAGCTCTCCCTCGCTCCCCCCTTCATCTATCCCGCCATCAGAGGGCGACAGTCCGGTCTTGTTCTTCCCCCTCTTCCGCGGCTCTGCGGAGATTACGATGGCGCTTCTGGCCGAGAAGGATCCGTACGCCCACCTGACACTTATCGATCAGAGCGTTCGGGTTGCTGTCAGGGGCGGCCAGCTGGCGATCGGTGACGTGCCTCTGGGACTTGTGGGCAGCATACTGGATGGCTTCGATGTCATTCTGCCATCAAGAGGGCCACTGATGAAGTCCGGCTGGCTCGCCGTGGACAGTGGCGATGACACAAGACGGCAAGACGACAGACAAGGGGGCATGATGGCAGGCTTGAGGCTGCCCGCTTTGTCACTCCGGCATACTTCCTCCCCTGCCACGCGTGAGCTGTATTGGGCAGAGGTGTGTGCATTGTCACGCGGTGGGAACCAGAAGGGCGCTCCGTGCATCTACCTCTATGCCTTTCCGTCGTCTTCTCTTCCCGCGAGGGTCCTGCAACCCACGTCGGTCAGCATTGTGGGGCCCGCTGCTCGTGTTGATCCAGAGGGACCGCCGCGCGAGCTGCGGTTCGAATGTCTTGAGCAGGATGGACAGGTGACAAGACACAGGAATGAGACGACCCTCAGACATGTGTCGATGTGCTTGTGATGTGCAGCGCGACAGGTTCCGCACTGTCGAGCCAGTTGGTGCATCATCGTGGGTCCGCACTTGGCAGCTGGCGCCCCCGTGTCTGTTGCCGACTGTGCTGCGCCGCCAAGATGCCCCTCACTGGCACAGGAGCATCCACGCCAGGGTGTTGTGTGACAAGCTGATACTGCAGCTCGTCAAGGACCTCCAGCCGTCCATCGAAATCAGGTACAAAGGACTAGAAATGAGCTGTTCCAGACTCGGAGCATGATCGGTCTCGATTTGCGTGCATGTATTGCAGGTTGTTTGGGTTGGGGCTGGATCTGGCCTCGAGTGCTACTCAGGGAACGAGCGTCCGTGCACTCATGCGGGATTTCCTCATCGAGGATGTCGGCTTCCCCCAACACGACAGGCGGCGGTTCATGGGCGGCAGGCGGTCGTTCCACGACGGCAAAAAGGGCCAGCTTCCTCTTCTCGCCCCGTCCCTCCTGCCTTTTGCACTGCCGTCGAGCCCCTCACCTGTCCCGTCGCATTCGCGAGGGAAGGGAGTAAGAGTGGGCGGCTTCGTCCTCGACATGGACATGAACGTCGACACTATGCAGGGCGCCGTCACCCTGCAGCCCATCGCACTAAGTCTGACGCCACTGACGGTGCGCCACGTTTGCGTGTGCGTGACGGCAATGGCAGAGAGGCCCTTGCAGAGCGCCTTTGTGAGAGACGTGCAGCTGTACCTGCCCCCAAAGCAGATCGTGCCCCGAGAGCCATTGCCACACGTGTTGGTGGGGATGAGGCGGCACTCGATGGTCACAGTGAGGGTGGAGCGGGTGCACTTTATCTGCCTACAGACACTGGGGTTCACCCAACAAGGTACAGTATCCACACAGAGGAGAACCCTTTCATAGTAGCAACACGCATCCCCGTCTTCCTTGCTTCTCCTGTCGGCCAGGACTCGAGATAGCTGGTGTGGATGTAGGTGACCTGATGCTTCGCAAGGGGTCCAAAGGGTGGCTGGTGCAGATCGGCACTCTCCGCGTCAACGGGCCAGAGATCCTCCCATTCTTTCTATCCCACACGTCACCCCACGCCCCATCCAGTCCACAGACCCCCCCCAGCACAACCAAGAGTCTCATTTTTGCCGCCCCATCCCACTTTGCTGTGGACGAGGAGCCGCAATCTGGCAAGTGGGTGGGCCACTCCTCGCTTGTCAGCTCTTCTGCGGCCCCCATCGGCAAGCGGAGCACGGCCGTCAGCGGGCCCTGGATCGATGTGCGCTGCGGCACCGACACTGCGGCCCTGTCGTCGCTTGCGGAGCTGGTGTCGCGAGAGAGGGATGGAGAGCTGGGTCAGCAGACTCTAGCTACGAATAAGGAGGAGGGTGGCAGCGATGCTAGTTACTACCATAGTGAGCCGAGGGGTCACGAGCTCTCTGTGCGGGTGGCTCCTTCCAACCTGGTGGTGCAGATGCGGCTCTTGGCGCCCTTGATGGACTATATCAGCGACATCAAGAACGGTCTCACCTTCCTGGAACTCCCCGACGCACCTCCCCCGACGGCTCGCGTCCATGTGCCGCCGCCCCCGTCCCCTTCGCCCCTCCCCACCCCAGGGCGAGGCCATGCACTCGATGAGGACATGGAGAGCAAGATAGCGGCAGGGGTGCTGCGATTCGTGGCCGAGCGGGGCAGGAACGAGAAGGGAGACGAGACCACCGATGGGGATGAAGAACAAGCAGATGGAGCGAAGGGCGGGGCCGAGGGCGACAAGGGCATCCATGAGTCCCAACCTCGGTCGCATGAGAGCAGTCACGGTGATGAGCCAGTGTGGCTCGTGAGCCTAGATGTGCACCTCCCGGTGGTCCATGTGCCGTCAGCTGACCATCCCGTGGTCGCTCGCGGGGATGACGGCACGAGCGGTGCCCAGCAAGCCACCTTTGCTTATTGCTATAATCCATATGGGAGGCGGATCGTCCTCCGCACCGGTGAGCAAAGGGCAATTCAAACGAGATACACAAGTGCCAGGCAGGATATGTCTGTGTCTGCAGGTGTGGTCAGTGTGTCCTACTCGATCAAGGAGTCCCTCACGTTCCCCCCGTTCCCTCTCCCGCCCCCACCTCTTCATTCGTCCACCGGCCCCATCCCCGACCCCTCTCCCTTCACGTTGCTTGGGTGCATCCACCGTGCCACATGGACGGGGTGCTCTATCGACCTGGTGCATCCACTCACCCTCCTGCAATCAGACACGGCCGATCAGCCCAATGTGCAGAATGTGCGTCAGAACATCTCATCTGAGATTCGGGTCGAGCTGGGGCTGTGGGAAGGATACGGGAGCGGGATCGATGGCTTGGATCTTGTGCGCTACGCGTCGTGTGACGTCGGTACTGTGAGGTTTTGCGTGTCCCCTCACGTTTTGGGAGTGCTGAGGAGCGCCCTGCGAGGTGCATCTCGGCTGCCTCTGCTGCCCCCACACATGCCGCTGCAGCCGAGGACGGCCGCTATGAAGGTAAGCAAAAAAGCATGGGTTGTTCCTGTAGAGCACCTCTGACCTGCTGTTCGGTGTTTGATCAGTCGGGAGCTGTGCGTGGGCCCTCCCCGTCCACGGCTCGGTCCTCTGCGTCTCTAGTGCGCTGGTCGCTAATCAGGGGGGCGGCTGGGCAAGCAGGGAAGAGGCTACCAGGGCCTCGCTTTCTTGCGCATGTCACGCTTGAAGGCATAAAGGCACAGGTAAGTAAAGAACGAAAGCAGACCACGACAGGGGCATAGCTTTCATAGAGAAAAGTCTCTGAAATCCCTGTTGCAGGTGTGTGACAGTGGGCGGTCTGGCGTGCTCGAGGGCCAGTTGACCGATGTCGATATTTTGGTTGTCACTCCCCAGCCATCACTGTGGTCAGAAGATCCTGTCGATAACGGCTCAGGCCGGGTGCCGCTCCTTCCTCTGCTATCCAACACCGAGTAGGGTGGCTCGATGGTACCGATCCATCCAGATGTATGGGTGACTACTGCATGTGCAGGTCTACTTACTGCCGTGCTTCTGTTGGTCATTTTGGTGTGGACGAGGCGGTCATTGGAGTATCTCAAAGCCAATCGCAGCTGCCGGTCCTTCGGTTTAAATCCGACGGCAATCAAGAAAATGGGCATGTTCTCACGATCGAAGCAGGTACGCAGAGCGCAACTGCAAGAGTCATTCCACTCACCGTTGCTGTTTGTGCTCTGCAGGTCTTCGGCACGACGCCCCGATTCGCTGTATCGCATGGGACGCTTCCCGCCAGGATAGACTCGAAATGTCTGACGAGTCCACCGTCACTCGTGTCACGGCCGTCAATGTTGGGGCACCTGACATCCACATTCGCCCCACTATGCTGCAGTCGGTGCTCAGGGTGCAGCGTGAGGCTGCCAGCATGATGCAAGACCAACCAGATGCGACAGGACAGAGCGGTGACCGGCATGCGTCCCTCGTCGATGAAATCAGCAAGGGCATGTATTATGCAGGGCAGCAGATCGGCCCGCGGGCGCAATGGTTGGCGCAAAGGTATCGGCAGTACTTCGATGTCATCAAGAACCAACCCACTCAGCACGAGCCGCGAAGCAGCCCCCCATCTCCCTCCAACAGCCGGCACAAAGCAGCACCACCCCTTCCCACACCTTTCCAGGATGACGACCTGTTGTCCTTGATTGGCGTTTCCGCTGGTGCCGTGTTGATGTGTCTCATTGTGGACCGACTTGAGGTCTGTTGTCCTTCAGTGGGCCTGACGTGCCACTTGATCAACGGAGCGACCATGACGGCGACGGTAGAAGGGCTAAACATGGAGTCATCCGGCCAGACGGTGATCGTGCAACGAAGCCCTCAGGGTACCAGCGCGAAAGAAAAGGTACGGAAAGGGAAGCATGTATCTGATTTTGTTTGGATTCAATATTGGCCTCCCTTTGTCAGGCTGACATCGAGGTCTGCAGTGCCATGAGTGCCTCCCTGTCATCCATTCACATCCATCGGGCTACCCCCGAGACGTCCGACTGTCCGTTTCCCCTCCTGAGGCCCTTTCCAGCCTCCATCCACCTGAGTGTCTCACTCCCACTCCCTCGGCCCTTCCCCCTGCCCACCCACGCTGGAGCAGCCCCCCCTCCACTCCTCCCCCCATCCGCCCCCGAACCCGCTGCACAGTGGGACGGGTCTATGCCCACCGAAACGCAACAGGGTCGCCAGAAGTGGGACGCCGGAGATGTCTGTGAAGGTCATCTGCGGCCCATGATCAAGGGTGATGTGAGAGCTGGGCCAGTGGTGCTGAGGGTGGGCTATCGTGATGCAAAGCGGCTGGCGGATATGCTGGAGGCCATCAAAAACGCGGGCGACACTGGCCAGGATGACTTTGGGACGGGAGAGCAAGACGGAAAGAGGCACCTCTTTTGCTACGGCACACATGACGATGGCATACGTCAAGAGGAGATGGGCAGGTGGGAGCACGTGTGGCCGCTACGTGACATCTCCACAACAGGCGACCGTCGCCAAGGTAGCAGCACTGGGACGTCCCCCACACTGATGCCCCGCCACTCGGTCGAAGCGTCCGCCTATCGCCAAGCCATGAGCCACTCGCCGTTCTTCCACCCGCTGTGGAAGTACCGCAATAGCGTGCGACTTGACGACACCATGGAGGCGTACTGGACTCAGCAAGTCAGCAAGGCCGCCAGCATGCAAGACACGAGGAAGGCGGCTCTCGAGAGAGCCAGGAAGCGGGAGTGCGTTGCCCCGCTACCCCCTCTGTCGCTTGCATCCCTGGCGTCCGTCGTGAAGCACAGCTGCACGTTTGCTGCTCTCGCATCAACCGCTATTCGGCACCCTTCGGACTTGAGAGTGGAGTTCCCATCGGTGGACGTGGGCATGCATTTCGGTGAGGTTGATGTGGTGCTTTGGAATGACATCAAGCCGCTCGTCAGGCCCAAGCCACTGCTGAAACTCGTGATGGGTAAGGAGTCAAGGTACTGGGGGCCTCCGTTCCTATCGACCGTCGTGCCGCCTGCTTTGTGAGGTGTAGGTCCTTCATCTGTAACCATCGCATCTCAGTTGACGTCCCATCCCCCAGAGGCCGCTGTGACTATCGAAACGGCCACCAATGTTTCTGCCAGGTGAGTAATCGAACAGTGCCCGAGGAGTAAGGAAAAACCCACCAACTGCGTCGTGCCTGTTGGTGTTGATTTCAGTATTTGCGCGAGTCCGCTGCGTGTGTGGGAGCCCCTCGCCGAGCCGGTCGCAGTTGGACTGTCTGCTCAGCACAAGATGGGACTGCCAGCGTCCCAGGGGGACAGCGGTGGTGCGTCTGCACAGACTGATGTGCGGGTCGATGTCAAGGGGCCAGTGCTGGTAAGTGACAATGCGGACAGGGCATGCACTCAGGAGTGAGTGTCGTGTACCTGTGTTCGTGCAGCTTTGCGTAAGTACCGCACAGTTGATGGCCCTCAGATCCATCGTCGCCGATCTGTCGCAAGACTGGCGAAGCAAGACACTGCCAAGCCCTCACTCGCCGCCCTCGTCTCTGTCCAGCACGGACGGTCGCATCATCCTGGCGTCCCAGGCGGCCAAATGGGGAAATCGTGGAACAAGGGTGGTGACACAGTGGGAGCCCAGGTGGATCGCTAATGTTCTGCAGCAACAACACCTCCAGCTGGCCGCCTTCATGTCAGCCGTGAAGCAGGAGACGGGAGCGAAGAGAGGAGCCAGACTGTGGAAGGTCGTGAGGAGGCGGCTGCCCGAGATCATCGGCAAGGGGCACCGGGACGCGATGATGCGATTCCGCGGTGTTGGACAGATAACGCAGGCCATCCTGCGTGACTATCCTGTCATCATCCTCAATCGTACGGGCCTGCCCGTCCGCATCCGGCTCATCTGGCGCCCAGGACAGCGCACTTGGGTTGAGGGGCACTTCGACGACGAGCCGGGTGACTCGATATACGAGCTGCCCCGACTGGATGGGCAAGAGGGGCGCGAGAGGCAGAGGGGCTCCTACCATATCGCTGCCGGGACGGACTGCGGCATTCCTCCGTCTGTTTATGATGACGATACGCTGGTGGACGTTCACTTCAAGCACCCTCACTCATCAGTTGCTGATGAGACGTATCTCGCCTCGATCAGAGGGGTCGACCTCGCCCCTCTCCTCTTGCCCTCCCCACGAGCGACCATCCTTCCTACCTCACCCCCCTCGACTGTTATGCTCACTGTCAACCTATCGGAGACCGGCAGGCGAATCGTGCGCCTTGCCTCGCCCCTCCAAGTGGTCAATGTCACTCCATTACCGCTCACAGTGAGGGCTCTCAAGCCGACGAGTCACGTCGGGGCGAGCGAGGTGGCGTTTGAGTTCCCATTGGTGCCCGAGGGGGGCGGAGGAGGGGTCTTGCCTGCATACGAGACGTCAGTCACCTCCATCCAGCTGAGAGCGGGTGCGTTGTGGAGCGCCGCCTTCGGACTCACTGCCGTGGCGGAACTCATCAGGGCCAGCAGTATGCCGGGGGCAGCTGCCCACGACCAGGGCTACCAAGAAGCAGACAAGACATATCGGGGGTTCGTGGTGATCACTGATGACAACGGGACGGCACACACGGTTCTGGTGACGGCTGCTGTCGAGAGTGCCATGGTGCGACTTGCAAGCGGGTCTGTTCATCCCCCTTCATTCGCCCCCGTGCCTCTCTTCCGCACGGTGCTCTCGCTGAAGCCCCCAGTGCGCGTCAACAACTCGCTGCCCGTCCCTGTGCGCTTCCGTCTCGGCGGCTCTCCGTCCGACACCTACATGTCATCAGCAGCGTTCCTCCGGCCCTTCCACAGTGTTCCCGTGTTCTCGCACAGCACTGGTCGGGACATCTGCGTGTCGGTGGCTGTCTATGATCTGCCCTGGAGTGAGCCAAGGTGTGTGTGGACCGGCACACATGACACGCCTTTCAATGCATTGAGGGAAGTGGATTCGTCGCCGCATGTCCAGGAGGATGAAATCCCGCTGCAGGGCACCTGCGGGCGTCTGTGCAGTGTCGCCATAGAGACGACCAGCGGCCAGATCGAAGCGGCGGAGGACGTCACCCTGACCATCCGAGCGCCGTTCTGGCTTGTGAGCCGACTTTACGAGCCCCTGGCGTTTGCAGTGCCCTCATCCTCTCCACCCACGTCAGCTTGTGACGGCGGGCGGGGGAAAGCGTCTCGTGGGCTGCTTGATGCGAGTGCCCTGACGGCTAGTCAGGGGAGCAGGGCGGGTACAGCCACGTTTGATCTCGAGCTGGACAGCACGAGAGACTGGCCTCATATAGTGGATACGCCCGGGTAAGAGGAGCAACCGAAGCAGGAACTAAGTCGCGGAATCATTGTCTGCTTGTCTGATGTAGGCTGCGATGGCTTGGCGGGAGGGCGCCATTTCTCACCCACAGCCCCAAGCTATCAGTGGCGGTGTGGGACGTGCCCCTTCACATGTGGTGCCCCCCACCCACCTACGCACATCTCAACCTGGCGGACCTCCAGACCAACATGACCACAGCCAATGCCACATTCAAATCTGGATCGTCTTCGCGGCGAATGGTGCCCATTCGCGTGGGCCGCTTCGACGTCATCGCTTCCACGCGTAGAGTGGATCTTGGGGTCGGTGGGCAGCAGCGGTCTGCTTCGTCCACGTTGGTGGAGTTTCGCCCTCGATTCCTGCTCTACAACTACACCGGATGGGAGCTGGAGGTCAAGCAGGATCTCGCTTACATCCCTCCGCCGCTCACGACCACCCACCTACGACCAGGGGAGTGTCAGCCTTTTCACTTCATCAATGCGGACGTGGACTACGCGCTGGCCATCCGGGTGGCATCCATCCCCCCGTTCCTCCGCAATCGTGCATGTACCGGAGCGTGCAGAAGGGCCGCTAGCCAGTCCACCACCGAGCAAGGGCACGAGCCATTCATGGGCCTGCGGAATGCCGCCGGCAGTGAAGCGGAAAAAGGACCTGTCAAGAAGGACCGCAAAGTGGGTCGATGGTTCACGCGCAGGCAAGGAGAAGAGGGGTCGACCAAGGCAGCATCGGGTGCCGCGTCGCCAGCCGTCCGCGCCTCGGCTGGCCCGCCACCGATGCTCAACAAGGACGTGCTCGGCTTCCTCTGCTGTGTGGAGAGACGGGCAGGCGATGGTAGAGAGGGTGATGGAGCACAGCGCCATGGGGGCACGGGTGACTGTCGGTGTGTCTACGAGTGCGTGTGGACCGAGGGACTGTCCATACTCACACCAACGGAGCGCACCATGCCTCTGTGGGGGCCGAGACCGCCACCAAAGACGGATGCGAGGCAGCGATCAGGCGGTCAGCCAGCTGATGAGGCAGCCACGGCGTCCCCCTTCGCATGGCTTGACGCCATGCTCAGCCATCTGTACAGTTGTACCGCTGCTCGTGTCCGGGGGGGGGCGCAGGAGGGTGAAGGGCAAGCGGGAAATCACAGTGGAATCCCGGCTCTCCTGAGCGCAGTGCGGGCGGAGATCGTGACGAGCGGCTCAGATGGCGTGTCACATGTGTTCTTCATGCCCGCTGACCGGCCTGACATCCAAATTGAAAACCATCTCAGTCAAGAGGCGGTCCTGATAAGACAAGTACCTGTGCACAACGCAGCATCAAAATACTCTCACAGCTGAAGTCTCTTTTCTCTTCTATTGTGTTCTGGTTTGGTGCTACAGTACGGTCAGACGTTGAGTGAGGAGTATTCGATGCTGCCGTCGTTGGAAGCCATGCCCTTCTGGTGGCCGCACCCCCGCACCATCCCCACATACGGTGAATATCTGGAGGTCCGCGTGCCCACGTGCGAGGACGACTGGCTCATTCTCGACCCGAAACAGCTCCTGGCCGACACCACCGCCAACGACGACATGACCGCCACCGAGAGCCATCCGCATATGAAGACCTACGAGTGAGTCAGTGAGTGGGCTAGTGAATGACGCCCTGCTGCTATGTCCGTTTTTGCGTTCGTCAGTGGCCGTTCTATCTACATCCGATGTCGTTCTGAGGGCTCGACGATCGTCATCTCGCTGACAGACTTCGACCCTCGCAATCCAACGGGGATGAAGGCACATAGTGGCCACCTCAACCACGCACCGGCGACGCTGCCCACTGGCAGGCATGACTTCATCCCAGTGGCAGTCAAACGATCAAGGCGGGGTAAGAAAAGAGGAAGGCCGAGTGACAGCACATGCATACAGCGGTCTGCTACTTGGCTTTCCATTTTCAGTGAACGTGTTCCTTCCTTCCGTCTCATTCTCCGCCGTTGGGCTGACGTGTGAGCTCTTCCACCTGCGCGTCAGTGGCATTTCTCTCGCTACTTTCATGGCCAACCACCCGCAGAAGAGCATGGTGTTTAGGGGTACCATCGTCCGCTGTCAGCTGGACCATCAGTGGACGGCACCATCCCCCGACCTGGAGCCGCTGCAGCCAGGCAGCCCTCTCGATGACAGTGGTGCGCACGGGGCTGTGTTTCCCGTCCTGCTGGCGCCTGCACGTGCAACTGATCCGGATCGGCCGCTGGTGGAATTCTCACTGGGAAAAAGCTACTGGTGAGCAGTTGCAGGAAAGAAACATGTATGGGTCGGCTTATGTTGTCCTTTTATGTTCTCCCACTTAGCACTCATGACGAAGCTCTGGAGTTGTCTCTGGCACAGCACTTTCGCCGCAGCACTCAGGTCTTGGGAAGTGCATTGGGTTCGTCAACCAACATCATGCCGTCACCCAGGCGCAAGCCAATGGCCACGGTCGAGGGGGCTGGCGACAGCCGACATGGCGGCGCCTTGTCGGTCACGCCATGTGTCGATTATCGCAGCGAGCGGCTGTTTGAGTGGGATATTGTCGGGTTCGCCGACCGGGAAGTGGGTCGCGGGGGAGTGGGCGACGGAGGGGTGACTTTCTTCGGCAATCCGGCGGTCAATCACTTCGATTTCATCAAAGTGGCTGTTGGGGACCTGGCAATCAAGGTACGCAGCGGCCATGACGTGCGTCGTAAGCCGATTGCCCAATCTTACATTGTTTTGAGTGTAGCTTCATGGTGTTTCTCTGATTCGCTCGGTCAAGCCCTCCTACGTGGCTCTCACATCCAGTAAGGGTCTGCACGTGAAAGAGGCAGAGGGAGGGCAAGCATGAATTTGTACTGTACGTGTTACGGGTGTTTCTGCTTGGTAGTTGGATCTCCCAAGCCTTATGGAGGATCCTCATTCGACAGCATTTCGGAGTCTTTCCCGCTTTCCCCTCCCACCTCCACACGGACTCCCCTCTACTTCCAGACGCTCCATTTCGGCGACTCACGCATACGGCTGACAACGTGCCTGAAAGAGGTCACTCAGGTGCTGTCGGATGCGTCTTCCTCGTGGTGGTCTGAGGGGGTGGCAGGGCGGCTTGTGAGCTGGGCAATGGGTCTTGCCGATCTGTCTGATTTCGAGCTGAGCCTCCAGGGACTGCGGCTGAGGCATCTCTTCATCTTGAATCAGTCGCTGGCGTCGCGATGCATGGAGCATTACGTGCAGCAGCTCATCACCCACGCACCCATTCACTTGGCCAAGTCAACCACGACCTTTCTGGGCGACACGGTGACAAGGGGGAGCCGATATTGGTCTTGACAAAGTGCTTACTTTTGTGTGTGTGTATGTTGGACTCGGCGATTGTGCGAGTAGGTGGGCAGGGTCTCTACCAGTATTTCCCGGCTGTGGAACCCCAACGCAGGTGTGCAGCACCTGGAGTCGAGGATGCGGTACCCACGATTGGTGCTTGGTCCTGCACGATGCGTGACGGGTCTCAATGATGAAGCATCACTCATCTGCGAGAAGCTAAGCGGAGCACGAGCAGCTGAGGCATGCTGTCTTGCGTATCTCGTTGCTGGACCGAAGTTGTTGATACTTCTGACCACCGAGGTGAGCATGATGTGCACACACTGAACAAGCTTGCGATACCCATGCGTGTTACGTCAGCTTCTCGTGATCGATGGATTCCGGTCATCAACCCCAACGCTCGTGGCGCGCATCCCATGGTTCCCTCACCTCTATTCACTAAGTGTGCGGCATTTGGAGCGACAGGCGGGCCCGCAACACTCGATTCTTTCCCTTCTGTCCAGTGAGGTTTTGTGGGACATGGGGTGGATCAGGAGAGCGTCCTCCAGCCAAGTGGAGGTCCTTTTGGGGCCGCCACTGCCAGTGGCCATGGACCAAGCAGAGACTTTCAGTGCGTTGACGCATTGTAGAGTCAGCTGGCAATGTGCTCGTCCCTTCTGCTCTGCACTTATATGGTACCTGTACAGACATATCAATGTATAGCCCATCACGCAGACTGATCGATTCAATGCGAGTACGCATCGATTGAATCAGTCGCATACAAGACAGAGCGGCATGCAGGAGCAACCACTAAGGCGGTAGTAGACGATAGAGTAACTAGGCTTCTCCTTTGAAAAGCCCGGAAGCCGCCGAGAAATACCCGGAAGCCGCCAATGAATGAATAATATGGCGAGGTGTTCTAAACACCGTAAAAGCATACAGTGCGGGCAGAGAGACCACATACATACATGAGACACAACACATACACACATATACAGAGAGACCATACAGACAGGCAAACAGGCACATCAATCAATCCGTGAGTTTCTTTCCTGTACCCGAGCTGTTTTTTTCGCATGGGAAGTTGCCCTTTTTGCGGACCTCTGCCCCCCCCC